GAAGTTTGCCATTCCAAAGTCTTCTCTTTAAAAAGCAGAAACAAGAAAAGCTACCAATACAAATCACCAGCATCTCAGGATCTGAATATGAGCCAACCAGCCGCCAGAAGTGTCAGCCCTGTTTTAAAGCTGGGTCAGCACAGGCAGAGGTCTAAGCCCCAGAACCCCAGGGCAGAGAAATCAGGAGTTCTCACCTCCCAGTGCCCAAGCCGGGAGGCCCTGTCTCTACCTCATTTCTGACTCATTAGAACCAACTGGACTGACTAAGAAAGTGAAAATTCAGACCAAACAGCATCCCTAACCAAGTGCCATTAGAGAAACGCAGGCAGACAGCAGTCTGCTTACAACACACAGACAAAACCCACTGTCCTCAACTAAAGACCATCCACAGCCTTAACAGAGAAGTTGGCCAAATACTGCACATCATTTCCAGAGCATCCACAGTGAGCTCTAGGTCGTACCAGGTACACTTGATACCAAACTGCCAGAAGGAAGTTGTAGATGCAGAAACCTCATTGCACAGGATGTCGCTAGTCAGCCTGGCACCACAAAATGTCTTTTGTCTGGTGAAGCAGTGTTGGGTCTTTAGACTGAGGTCTGCTGGAAGGGAGGTAATGAAGAGCTTTGTTGACGAGGGAAGGCAGAATAAAATGCCAAGGTCTGTCCGAGGACTCATTTTTATTCCCTAATGTGCTCTGCTGGAGTATGCAGCATGTCCCATCTAATTTTGGTTAAGCCAAATTGAAGAGCATGGAGCCAGGTAAAAAGCAACACTCATCTGGTGCTACCAAGAGCCTATACAAGACAGGTGGAGATGTTACATTGGATGCAGCAGCAAGGGATGGCTGCAACCTACCAGTGAACGGAAGAAGATACTGCTAAGTCAAAGCAGGAGAAAGGAGGCAGCAAATGAGGAAAGTATGGCAGGACCACAGAGAAAGAAGGCAGCAAGTCCCATCAGCAAGCTGTGAGGAACTACACTTAGCGCAACAGGGATCTCCTTGGTCCCAAAACGTAGCAGCACTCAGGACAAGTCTCAGACAAATCCCAATAAAGTAGAAGAACTGAAGTTTCATAGCTGAACTGACTTGACTCAATTATTTACAGCTTTATCACAACTTCAAAAAATAAAATCACTGCTTTGAACTTGATTCTGTCTGGGTAAAGTAAGATTTAAACCAAGCCATGACATAAGCTATCAGTTTCAAGATTAATTTAACCTTTCTGTCACAACAAGGGTTTAGATAGGATTCACCTGTATCGGATGCAATACTTAAATTAGAAAACTGTCACCTGGAAGCCCAAAGACTAGTATTGGCAGCATTAGACTTCAGACATTTTATCTTGTTTCTCTTACATGATCACATGGAAGTCTTGACAGAGAAGGCAATTTATAAAAATGCTGTATTCTGCAGGCCAGACAGATAAAAAACAAAGCAAAACAACTTTAATTCAAATATTTTGCCATATAGCAGAAAACCCACAGAACTGGAAGGAACCACCTGGATTCTTACACACCTTGAAACAACAGGTAATGGCATTAAATAATTTCTTTCCTATGTTCATCAAGCTTTACCTTCAGCCCAGCCAGGTTTCTTATCTCCACTGTACCTGATGCAAAGTTACTCAGAGGCTTGAAAGCCCAAATCATCCTTCAGATTCAATAATTCCTCCTCCTCAACGCTGGAGCTCATTCTCTGGATGTGTTCCCATTGCTTAAAACTATTAAGCCATGTCACATCATCTTAACACAGCTTCCTTGATCATCTCTTAGGCCTGCCTGAAGCACCTCCTTGGCAATGTTGGGGTTTTTTTTGTTTGTTTGTGTTAAAAAAGCAAACACATTTTTTGTTCCACTTTTTAATTGTGCAAAGCATTGCAAAACACTGCGTATAATGGCACCAACACTTCCAAACTGTGCTAGAAGCATCTCAAAGCTCACACTTGTCTTCCAGTCATGCCCCTGCAGTAACCCAGTCACCTGCTAGTTCTTCTTTTCAAACTGATGAACCCCAGTTCACAACAGAAATTCTGCCTATTACTTTGTTGAGGCACACACTTGCCCTCTGAATCAACCATCTATGAAAAATTAAGTACAAAGTTTTAGAGCTCATCTTATGTAATACACTTATCACCCTCCTCCTCCATGTTATTGCTCATGTCTCCCAGACTGGTTTCATCACAAATATCTGTTATATGCATACTCTTACTTTTTATGCCAAGGTCATGGATGAGAAGTAATGTGTGTCTTATGACTCCTGTCTCCAACTCAGTTTTCACTGCAGTACAAACACCCACCCTTTCACCAGTTTGTTACCCGTCTTGCAATACTTGCATAAACCTCCATCCCTTTGACACAGTAATTAATTTTCCACATGACTCCATAATAAATCCTTTACAGAAAAGATCAGACAACGAAACTTTTCTCTCTAGAGCGCGCTGTTTTATGAAAAAGGCTAGTCTTACACTACCTGTCATGGAGTAAACCACATGAAAAGATGTTATCCAGTTTTTAATGGGTCAGTTAATTCAGTCCTTTCTCAGTGCATGTTGTTGTACGCTCAGCTTGTTCTCTCCATTTTGTTACTAGCCCTGATTTAACAGAGTCAATAAAAATCCCTGTTATCAGACATGGAGCATTACATGGTAGCTTTTTCCATATTCCAGGATGGAGACCAGCCAGTCCCTTTTCTTCGACACAATCAATTCCATATCTATTTCAGTCCCAGCAGTTTTATTTCTGTTCACTCAGTGCAACTGCCTTACTGCTGTACCTACACGCTGTATCACTACTAAACTGAATCTCACTGTAGTTGTCATTTGTTTGAAGGATCATATTAATATTACCTTATATTCTAACCTTGAACTCAGGCAACTGCCCCCTCCCTTTCTTTCTTTAATAATTTAGAATTAAAAAGGCCTAAAATCTAACACAGAGTTGCCTGTACTTCCCTTAAAGGCACAAGGAGCTAAGCTTTACAGTCTTATGTTCTCATGCTTTCCGATCTCTAAGACACAGATGCCTCTACACCAGCTATTCCCTTTCTTGCGCAGCATGGCTGAATTAAGCAAACCAAGACCTCCTCTTACAGCACACGGGTTGCAGAAGTTGTTACTGACTTCAGCAAGTCTCGGGCCATATGTACTTTACTGACCTTTCCATCAGGCTCAAGACTCACCCAGCACCTCGGTCAATACAGCTTATATCTCTTACAGTAAGTGCCCAAGCCAAATATTTTGTACACAAGGTTTTAAACAATGTGCTATCTTCCAGAAGACACTATACAACTGCATCCTACACCAGACCACATCAACCCTTCTTCTGCCATTAGAATATTCCCTAGTAGGTACATTAAGGCCATCTATACCTAGGGCCTTTGGGGGAAAGAAGAGGCAGACCAAAAAAAAAGACCAGTTCCCAAAATACTACAGATAGTTTATATGACTGAAAAGTGAGAGACACCAGCAGCCGCAGCATAAACAAAGCTGAATTCTATCTGCACCTACCTAACAGAGTTTCTGTTAGACTAGATGCAGAGTAACCCATTTGGGGGCTATTTGTACATTAAGAAATCCAAAACCCAACCTCACTGCTTAGATGATCTGACAAGTGGAAGAAAACTCAGCAATAAAATCACCAAAACCAAAATGCAGAATGCATTGAAGTCCCTGGAAAACCTTACAAAGCCACAGTCTAAACTGCAGCAAGAGCTAGCGTAATGTCCAAGCAGGAAT